GTTAATATCAAGTATGAAACCTTTACACCTTCAGGTCACATGTTTATAATACAGAGACAATATTATGATTATGACTTTTAAAGCATCCTTCATGCTAATGTTGAGACAAAATGCATCACCAGCCATGCTAGAATGTTAAATAAACTGTGAGCTGAATTGTATAAGATCCAGATTCCCTGCACCCTACCAGCTAAACAGTTTGCCAAAAGGAAACCAAAGGTCCACCAAAGGAAATACTGGCTATCCTGTAACCTTTTAACTGACATTGTACCATTAGTACATTTAAGATGGGACCTCCAACCTTCTGGATTAGGAGGTCCCACCTCAGATAACGGCTTTCAGACAAGCATCTGTATTTGGTTTGAATGCTGGATCAGTATGTAGGGGTCTCACCACAGTGCCAAGCAGGCAACTCTCAACAAGCGGGGGCAGGGCAGGTGGGGTTTGGTGGCGGGGATGTGGTCGGGTCATGGTTTGAGAAATCATGGTCAGGAGTGTTTAAAAATTCAGGGAGAACTCTAGTGGGTGCAATAAAGAAGGACCACTCCCTACCCCCCACCATCCCATGTAGGAACCTTACCAGGCTGGACACTTGGCATGGGCCTCTCTGCTGCCAATTAAGTCCCAATGGCAGGAGCATCAGACCCTTAAGTGAGCATTAATTACTCACCAGAATGCAGGCCACCCAACAGTAACCCTGCCACTTGTATAATTGTAGTAAGAGCAGGTAGCTGGCAGATGGCCGCACACTGGATTAAACAAAACCATGTAAGACTGTGTAAAATCTAGCCCTTAGAATAGTTATCAGAGCTAAAGTCAAAAGTTGGCATATTATAAAGAATGTTCTACTTGGTTTATCAGAACGGTGGACATATTCTATTTGTTTTGAGACACTGGGTATATTACAACAGAGATTGATGGAATTCTTGATATTAACAGTATCAAGGAATGTAGGGATGCTGTGGGAATATGGTGTTGATGTAGAAGATCAGCCATGATCTCAATGAATGGTGAGACATGCCTGATGGGCTGAATGTCCTGCTCCTACACCTGTTTCTTCTGATTATTTCTGGGCATTCTGAAATTGTTCATTTGAATGTCATGATGGGATTCAGGGTAGCAGTGGCCAGGGTGAACAGGTCTATTACTGTATGGGACAACTACTCAGCAGTCGCATTAGAAAATTTAATACCCTGTCGAGGTCTGTCTGTTCTGGCAAGATGGCGGCAGGGTGAGTCACTCCATTCAGAGCTCCACTCTCCTTGCCAGTTCTCCTTCTCTTTCTTTCTTTGTCCTCCCTTTTTTTGCCCCTTTCTTCTCTCTCTGTCTGTAGTAATTCTATGCCC